GCGGCTCGGATGTTTTAATGTATGGTTATAAGTCGCCCTAAACTCCAAACCCACTGCAAAGTCCCGATTAAAATCCTCCATGATCCCCATAATAGCCATCCAAGAACCCATACAGCCTCTAATACAAAAACTGGCCTTTATCCAGGTAAACTTGGGCTGCCCAGATACCTGGGAGATTATGTGTGCCTGGGCAGCCTTGTACCATCTGCATTGGCTCGTCTCCCCGCCCAGTAACTGTCCCTAATGAAGCTTTAAGGGGCTGTGACAACTCGTAGTACTTCTCGCGGTAACTGTTATTGTAAGGGGCAATCAGATAATCACCTGACATTGACGACTATGCTTCCCCCTCTGGCAGTGATACCACATGGCAGCTGTGCTACTGCACTTTCCGCAGGCTTCTTAAGCTCGACGCAAACCCCGCATTCCCAAATCCCAGGTTGCCAGCCTTCAAACCCAGAAAGTGTAGAAACCACAGGGCGCACGGAATCAAGAATGGTCAAGCTTGGACGCTTCGGAAACCATAGACATTTCGGGCTCTGTTAATGAGCCCGAGTTCAGCAAGCGTATGCAACTGTATTCTGCACCTGTGGAAGAACCGTATTATGCATCTATACAAGTACGCAGGCGGGTTTTCCTATAATGTCAACTTAATTCAAGTTCCTTAACTGCAACCTGAATTCCTGAGACGACTGCTGCAGTCGCCGAGGTACGAGCGTGAGCGCGTCGTAGACACGCACTGCAGTGGGATAGAGAACTTTGTCCGAGTCGCTCAGCCTTTCTAGAACTATATGCGGATTTCCAAGAATTAGTGATCCCCTTTTCAGGGTCCCTAGAGTAAGGAATCTAAGGATTATACTTTTTAGGGTTCTCTGCTGGGGTGCCTATATTTGCTCAACACAACCCTTCAAAGCCTGTAGGAGCGACCCTGCAGTCTCCCCTGATGTCCTCTGTTCGGGAACGTGGACCCTCGGAAAGGTCCCAAATCCTAATCCCTAAACCCTAAACCCCAAACGTAAACCTCAAAACCCTAAACCCCAAATGCTAAGCCATAAACCCTAAACTCAACCCCAAGAGCGCCCAGGCTTGCTGCCAGCAGCCCCATGTGCACATCAAGCTGAGGCCTTCCATCCAGAGGCTTGCCTTACTGGGGTTCACGGTTTAGGTTTGAGGGTTTATGGGGGAATGAATTAGGGACTATGACAGGGGTATATATGGGGATTATATAGTGACCATTGATGTAGAGGCTTGTTGGGATTAATTGGATGGGTGTAGGGTTTGGGATTTTGGCCTGTAGGGTTGGGTTTTTTCTTTTGGAGAGGGCTAAGGAAGCATGATGTCGGTTTCAACGTTTAGGGATTGTTTAGGATTTAGGATTTGGGATGTATAGCGGGTTTGAAAGGGTTATCGCGAGGTATGTGTAGGGCTTCATAGGGATCGTCTGAGAGTCCGTACGGAGGTTTGGTGGTAATCTGAGTAGCCGCGTGCTCGTGATACTTAGTCTTTCCGCGTTCCCAAGCCGAGTTTTGGGTTTAAGGTTTAGGAACCCTAAGCCCTTAGCCAGTCGTAATAAACATAGCAATAATAGTAGATGTAGGTTTAGAGGAAGCATAAGCCCTTAACCCCAAACTGTGAGTTCTGAGGTATACTCTTTGAGCATAGAGGCTTGGCGCGTTGTTTTGGGGTCGGCCAGCGCAGGGAGGGAAAGCAAGGGATACTGCGCAGATTCAAGAGATTCCTTCAAAGGTCCAGGTCAAGAAAACTGAGATCATTAGGAGCAAACTGGGTTGCTGTTAAGGAACTTAAATAAAGTTACCATAATGGGTATATATAGTAAATAATGGGGTTTCCCCAATACAGTAACTTAAATTGAGTTCCTTAACAGCAACCCAGCAAAGAGGGAGCTTGGGAGTGCCCAAAAATGAAAGGGTCCTTGCTTTGGCAGTGCCTGTCCCTAAAACCCTAAACCCTAAACCTTAAACCCTAAACCCTACACCCTAAACCAGACGTAAAAGGCCGTTGCAAAAAATTGAGAATCTCCAAAAAGGGTGCATTCCTGAGCCTAGGCCTATGAAATGTGGCTCATCTAGGATAGGCGAAGGCAGAAAAACACTGAAGATAGCACTAAATGCCAGTCAGTCATTTATCCCAGCACTGAGCACTGGCTTTCCTTCAGAGGCGTGAGTTTAGGCTTTTGGGTTTCTTGGACTTTGAATCTCTGGACACAAAGTTCCAAGAACAGGACCGCAAGACCTAACTTGCACATGTTTTTGGTTACAGACGCGTAATCGGGGTCCCAGAAACTCCACTTACTTGTCGGCTTTCATTTGGGTAAGGATTAGAGGAATGGATACCTAAAAGCAGGCCCTATGTTATCTCCAACAGTATATGTAAGTTTCCATTTTCTTTTACCATTCCGGCACTGCCCATCGAAAGCCAGCAAGTTAAGGACGCTCCGGATGTGGGAGTTGGAGTCCGATGGTGCAGATCCTGATGTACAGCCACTCCTGCATTCTGCCGGCCAGGACTTGGTTGCCAGACCCATCCAGACCCTATTGCGTATTGCCTTTCGAACCAACGTAGTCTACAGCCGCAGCCTTTTTGGAGTCAGGCTGCTGTTCAAGTATCATCTCTGAATCAGCCCATACCTAAGCCTTACCCAGGTCACTGAGAGCTCCAAGATACGACGCCCTCGGAATGCATTCTTCCGAACAAAAAAAGAGTTGGGATTTCGTTGCGGTCCTTAAGAACATCCCAGTTGTCGGCTTTTGCAAAAATGAACCTTCGGGGTTTTCCAAGTTCTGGGAAGTAGGACCTTACACATGTTGGGTGTTGGAGGTGGGATTCTCCGGCTGGAGCGGTCAGATGCATTTTAGGGTGTACTGCTGATGGCCTTACATGACCTGGCTGCAGGATTTTGTAACTGGGTTTCTAATGGTGTTCTTGATTTTTTTCACATTAGGGTCCCTGTCAGATGTATACCATGCCCCAAACTAACGTGGAACAACAACAAAAAGGAGCTCTACAATCCTTTGCAGCAAATGGGTCGGCATGGGATTTCAAGTTACTTTGGGGCAGCGTTTTTTCTCCCGTTTCCCACTTCAGAGAAGAACTGCAGGAGCAAATCAAACCGCCCAAGTGGCACTGCTTGCACAACAAGGACTCAGAGTTTTGGCCTGCGAAGTATTTGGGGTGTAGGGTTTAGCGTTGGTACCCTAAACCCTAAACCTTTCTTAAGCACCATGGTGGTGGGCCTTGGGGTTGAAGGTGGGGATTTATGCGGCATTGACTGTGGAAGCTCAACCTAAATTGATCTGACTTGTAATTTCCGATGGCGAGCCCTTTAGTACCTGCGCTCGTGGAGGCCCTCTTGACGAAGTAAGGCATATGTAGGGTTTAGGGCTCAGGGTGCAACAATGGAGAATCAAATGGACAAAGACGTGAAATATGAAACCCTGAACACTAAACCTTGAACCTTAGATCCTAAACGCTAAACCCAAAACCGCGTGGCTACCATGGCCCCAAATGTGAGGCACTGGATCACACCTAAAATGTGGGGAGTGATCTCATCGTCGAAGTCTGCATCGGTGTAGTCGCATTTACCACCTGAACCCTAAATCTGTAGTTTACATTTTCTTTTCTTCCAGTTCTTTATTCTCTGCTGACGACCTTTCCGAGATAGAGGTTTCTCCTAAGGCCAGACGCCTCATAGAACCTCCGCAAGGTCACCGGAATACCCATTTATTTCCTTTCTAAGGATGGCGGTCTTGTAAGGCCCCCTTCCGGTTTCCATGTATAGACCCCAAGCCTTTGACATCCTTCTATGCCCTTATATACCCCTATAAAGATCCTGTCAGGGTTCCATATCAGTTTTGGGGGGTGTAGCTACCTGTTTAAACCCTAAACCCTAAACCCAAGCCCTAAACCTTGTAGCTACCTGTTTCAAAGCCCAGGAGTGGATGGCAGAGCGCCCACCATGGCAGCTGATTGGCACGTCTCAATGCTACGATCTCAACCTTCTTTTGGAAGAAAAAGATGCCGTGGGGTTTACGGTTTAGGGTTTAGGGTTTGGGGTTTAGGGTTTAGGGTGGGGTTTGCAGCATCATGGCTCCTTTGCTTGGTACTATTCATAAGAAGTCACCGAAGATTCTTACGCGAGCACTGCGAAACAGTCAGAACCCTTCAAAAAGTCCTGGAATGACCCTCGCAGGCGCTGCCTCATGTAGAAGTTTTGGCGGGCAAACTGGGGGAGTTTCATCCCAATCCAGGGTAAACTTGAGACTATATTATCGTATCTGTAGACCCTAAACCCTGTATGTGTGTGTGTATATGTATATAAGTTTTGTATACATATATAAATTCTGTGTATATATATATAGATACCCAATTTAGTAT